CCCTAAACCCTAAACCCGGGTTTTGTTGTGCAAGGTTTAAGGCCAAGTCCCTTATACCTTGAGGGTCCAGGCTGTGGATTTAGGGTATATGTGAACCCTGAGCGAATAAAAAAGGTTTCCTGGTTCATGCTTGAACCCCCAAAGTACAAGGGTTAGGGCTTAGGGCTTAGGGAGAAGAATGGCCTGTTGGACTAGGTTTGGAGTTTTTTGGGCCATTGTCTTACCGATGTTTGAGGGGTCCAGTGCTCTCGTTTGGGTAGTGCCAGGGGTTTCCTTATAGAGGATAAGGTCTATGTAAGGCTAAATACAGCCTAAACTTTAAACCCTAACTCTCTTAGACAGTATTGAGGTTTAGGGCAGTAAAGGTGGACATATTCAAAGCTATCCGACGACTTGGTTCGTCCTGTCACTGTATGGCTGCTGACCAAACGTAAAGGCAGGTTTATTTTCAGAAGAAAGGCCGCTAGTCTGACTTTGCGTTGCAGGCCCCACAAGGACCGATTACGACTGCAGATGAATGTAAAACCCGAATCCTGAGCGGATCTAGTTTTCAGCATCTGTGGCCTACACCCTCAACACACATCCGTAGGAGATTGCTTGTTACTGTGCTGAGTTTCAAGACTCTCCTTGATAACCAACTTAGGGGCCTCCTGTGCCCAACTGTTTGCGATCAAAATGTCAAGATTGCATGTGGAATCAGGAGTCTCCAACAAAATCACAAGGCTCCTTTTATGATTGGGATCTTGGTCGAAGCCTCTCAGAAGGAGTTGCAGCACGTCCGTGTGTCGGCTAGCAAAACGTTCGTTTCTGAGCATGGCTAAGGCACGATGAGGCCTGTCAGAATCTGCTAGAGGCTTCTGAACCTGCAGCTCAGTAACAATAAATCTGCACGCTTTGATGTGGCGGCTGCTGAACATTGTGAATCTGGAGTCCTTATTCACTTGGTTTCGAGGAATTTAGAGGCATACAGGGCAACTTATCCCAGAAATACCCACATGCTCCATGGGCGTCAGCTGAAGAACAGAATACTTGCCAAGACCACGAAGTTTGAAGACGTGCTGACGGGTTTCGATGCCGCCCTCGATACAGTGACTCAGGCACGCCAGGGCACATCACGTCCCATGTTCGAGGCCCTACTCTTCCCGCGGCTTGAGG